CTGCTTGTATTTCACTATAGCGGCCAAAGAAATAGTAAAACGGAAATGTACCAGTTTGAGGATTCATGCAGATATACATTTGCGTTTGAACCCATTTCAAAAGATAAGGTCACATATACCTAACCTCATCTAGTGCGATTCGCAAGAGTTTAGTAACTTCTCTATTACGTGTCTCATTTGTACCTTTCGGTTGAGGCTTGTAAGAAACACCACGCCTATGGGTCACGCCTGATACGAGTATAAGTATTTCTATTACGTCGGTACAGTATTCGCTACCATTATGAGAACATAATACTCGGGAAAACCCGAAGTCAGTCAATAAATACTTGATAGAATACTTCTGCAATTGTTTGCCGGCGTTTGTTTGGTAATGGACGAAGCAAATTGTAGCCCAACGTCACACATAAGAAATGACAGATATATATATCGCCTGTATGTACTTGGATCACGGAAGTTTAGCCAAATCGACCGTGACTCGGCGCATTGGATGGTTTTCTGTCACACTTGTTGCTTGATTTGTTCTTCTCACCGTCTGTGCACTTTAAGTATGGCTTCTCTCAACGCCGGGTTATAAATCATTCCACCAATAGTCACCCTATATGTATACTCGAATGCCCTGAAAAATATGTTATGAACGATCTTAATTTACTTTATGTTCAAGCTCTCTTAGGTCAATCAGATTTTGGGTAACACTGGCTGGGTGAACTATCTTCCCGTTAGAATAGGGTAACTTCAATATTTGTAAGAGCTTTTTTCTGTGATACGCAATTCACAACGTTAGAGTTTAAATATCATGTTCAGTTATATCGTGGCTGTTCTTGAAGCAGCGCTTTAAGTAGTTGAGTGCGAGCCTCAGGTTCGCTTAGATATTTGAGCCTTAAATACCCGACCTAAACCAGTTCTATTATTTCTACGATCCGATGCCGTTCCTAACGGCATGATCTCGACTGCATTCTTGTTGGGTGCACGTGTTGTGCGAGTCTGGTTTTAGTGATCAAACTGTTACGACTCTTATTGAGCTCCAAGCTCCGCTCATTTAGGTGTACACGCCAAACTTGGTTTTCACTATATTAGCTAGGTTTCAGATCTTCCATGACAACTAACTTGCCTTGGAAACGAACCCACATTATTCTTTTTTTCTCTCCGACCAAACTTTATTATATATTCACTACACAAATATCTAGTAAAGATTAGTTTTCTATTTCAACAAATTTTGTGGACCATTAGGTTATGGATCATTGTTTTCACTCTGTTCTCACACCATGTCAGCTTTAGAAACAGATGACAGTGAGAACTCTTCTTCCACTAAAGGAGAGTTTGCTTTAAATTGAGCTCAACTACATTACAGCGGATCCAATTATGACTCATGGTATAATGAGTTGTATAGCACCGCAGTAATTCATCGTTTGAACATCACTGCAGTTCTAGAGTATAAGCCGTCCGACCGACCAAATCATGTGAAAGGAACTGCTCCGCAAACGCCAATCCTCGAACATGCCAACGCGAATACCACATGTTTTTCGTGAAAAGACCAAGAAAAGATGATTCTTAATTCAACCACTATCTAAGAAACTTCGCCAGAACTTGACAATTATCAATATCACAGCAGACCCCTGGGATTTGACGTCAATTTTGGTCAATAAGTATTCTTATTGTTCCGATCATACTGCCAAGCCAATCGACATCGCCTACCTGGAAGCTTTTACCTGCACCGACGAAGAACCCGTCCGGGTATGGGCCGAACGTTGCTGCAAGCTGTAAGCTGACGCCAAGGACCAAGACCTTATTTTTACTGAAAAATTTGTCACGACAATTTTTATCCGGGATCTCTCACAATCTGATCATGATCAAGCACGCCAATACTTGGTTACTCGTGATGAGCTACAACAGCTCCGTTGACACTCTGCGAACACTTGGACAAATGACGCAAATCGGACCCCGACCGAAAATTAGCTGATACCCCTACCGTGGCTTATGTTAGATCCAAATCTTCCACTACCACAAAACCCCCAACGATCCGACCACGTAGTTACTCAGCTATACCACCGTGTTTTGTGTGTTGGAAGACAACACATCGCGCATCTACCTGTCCCATCGGCTGTGGAAAATGCGGTACAAAAAAACATAACAACGCCACGTGCCCTGAGACCAAACTATACTGTACGATTTGTCACAAGGAAGGCCACAACGATATCTGCTGCAGCCGCTGTTCTAATAAAAATAATATCGCTTACATGAATGTTCCTTTCATTGCTAAAATAACCGTAGCTACGACAGGCAATACTTCCCTCCCTACTAATCGATGGGGGGCCACCGTCAATTACCCTAACACATTCTCTCGACCACTCCTCCGTCAAATCGAAACCGGCAACTTCACATTACTTCTTGCGGACAATACCTCTGTTACCATTCGAGAACTGGGACTTCTACCTGGGCTTAAGATCACATACCTCAGCCCTCGACTTAGCAATCCATCGTTTCTCAACCCAACTTCAGGATAATGGTTTGAACTTCAATTTCCATTTTCACAAAGAATCTGCCATCTTAAGCACGGTAACCAATCACACAACATTAAGCGCATCAATAGCGGATATCACGTCACCTAACAAACTTTATACAAACTTTCAAGCCTCTTACCTACAAATACACCTCGAGTCCATACTCTCAAACATCAACAGTCGAACACATCGGTCGTCAAACGGTCGCCCCTACTACCACTCGATTCCGTTAGACTGCCATCACCAGTATCCCGTTCTACATTGCCTGTTCCACAGTCGATCTTATTATCTACACCATCTGCCAGCAAATCACCCTCAACGTCACTCACTATTACCAATACTCCTCATGATTCTACTGATTCTCTGGTTAAATCCCCGAATGAAACCACAACTCAAACATATGACGAGTACCATCGTCGAAATGGTCATCTGAATCGCACTACCACCATTCAAATGGCTGCGAAAGAGGGCGTCACCCTTACTTTTCCATCCCCACTTTCAGTCACTACCGAAGACTGGCAGCTCGACCCTACACTATGGTCAAAGGCCATGGATCACCTCAACTATAAGCCTACAACTGACTGCTTTGCATGCCTCACCTAAAAATACACAACTCCCTCGATTTGCGGGACCTGAGGGAGTTGAGGTACGATGTTTCCGGAAAGTCTATCTCTTAAATGAGAAAGCTTATGGTAATCCGGGCTGGTCACTTACACACGAATGGATAAAAATCAACGTTCATTGGGGCACTATTATAGCCATCTTGGTGCCATTGCGCCCTTGTGCAAAGTGGTGGCATCTCTTCATCTCTAGACTTCAAAGCCAACCATATATTATACAAAACACGAATACTACATTTCGTCAACACGGTATCAAAACTATGTCGAAGCCATCTTGAGTCTATACTGTCGTCGCCCTCCCTGACCCACTACGGTCTGCTGTTTCCCCTGGCCCCGCTCTCGAAACTGCCATTTTCTTCGCTAAAGCATATCCGGAGTTCGCTAAACATTGCAACATTTGTCTTGAAGCAAAGATACGTCGCTTCGCTAAAGCATATCCGGAGCTCGCTAAACATTGCAATATTTGTCTTGAAGCAAAGATACGTCGCAAAAATATTAAACATCAAACCTCCGATAATGTTACTGGCCCAGCAGAAAGATTTCACATTGATATTCAGGGGCCCATGCCGCCTGACCGCCATGGTCATAAGTATGCCTTTAATATGGTATGTGATGGTACCAAATACGGCCTACACTCTCTCTTAAAGGACCTTGACAACATTCCCGACCGAGTACTCGACCTCATCCTACTAATCCCGGCCCACTACAAACCGCATACTATCGCTGCGGATGGCGCTAGTGTTTTCCAAAGTACTGAGATGACAGCCATGCTGCGCACCAGGCATATCTACTTGGGTCGTACCCACCCCATTGTCTAGAGTTCGCTGGCATTATTGAACGCCAGTACGATACATTGAATAATATGACACGTGCTCTTCTGCGCGATTCCAATCAGCCTAAGTGTTGCAGGGGTTACGCCAAAATGTACGCTGGTATCATATGTAACGAGAACCCTTCCTCTGGCGATTTCTTGTCTTCTCTGCCGATATATGGTTCCAAACTACGGTCCCATAATTTCTAGAAGCACGTTATGGATGCATTATCATATGAAAACTCGAAGGTCACCAGTACACGGATGCCCACAAATATGGCGATCATTTTGGCCGTGACGTTTTCCTCGGTCGATGCCCTAACTTCACCCGTGATACTTGGTTAATCCAAAGTTTCAAAACTCAACGAAAGCTTTATTCTCGTAACGTTAAATTCTTTCCTGCAGAATTCCCGGAGTGGACCAAGGACGGCAAACGATGCACTCCCAGCGCTACTTCTTGTTCCTGCATTATCCCAGTCGATTGGGCTACCCCACACCCCCTGCACCGCATCGTTCTCCTTCCTTTATCCTTTTTTGAGACTATGCTGCGTGAACCGCGTACTATTCTGCCTACCACAACACCTGACCTTCGCCAACGCCCTACTCCTCCTCGGACTATTTGTCGGGCACCAACACCGACTCCACTTGCTCACGCTCCTACTCTCAACCCCCTTGATTCACTTCGTGTACCCTCTGACTCTTTCTTGCCTATGCTGCGTTCAACAACCTCGATATATTTCACATCGATGTCGACACTGCGTACTTGTACTCTCCACTGGATACACTAGTTTATATGTATCTCCCTGCCAGTAGTCTTAACCTTGGGTACTATAAACCATCCTAGATTCTTCGGTTAAAACGTGGACTCTATGGTTTGAAACAGGCTGGCCGCCTGTGGAACATTGATATTGTGGCGAAGTTGAAAACACTTGGGTTCCTCCGCTCCGATGCTGATGAAAGTTTCTGGGTTCATGCTACCCGTCGTATTAACATCGTTCAATATGTCGACGAAATCGTCCCGGCTGTCAAATGCCTCCTTACTCTTTGTCTAAATACTATACTCTAAAATTTCTAGGCATTGCTTCTCATCTTGTCGGCCTTCGCATCCGACAACATAACAAGGGTATTACTATCGATCAGCAGGCGTACACCAAATCGCTCCATGACACTTTTCTTATCCTCCACGTGTTGGGCACCGGAGATCACCCCGCCTCCATGGTTGACTCTCCATTTCTCCAGCGTCCTGGTTTCCGTCATTACCCGACTCGACATCTCCGCCACACTCAATCCATTGGTTGCTTTTGCTACTATTCCAAATAAGACTCATATGCACGCTCTCGAACGTATTCTTCACTACCTACGTACGTCTCTGGATTACTCTATCACCTACCACCGCCAACTCCCTGGTCAAATTTTCGATTCTGCACAAGTGGCTTATACTGATTTTGATTGGGGTTGTTGTCGCGTGTCCAGCCGCTCTCAAACAGGCACTCTCATTTGCTTCCATGGCTCCCCCATTTACTGGAAGAGCCATAAACAAGAGACAATTGCACTCAGCAGTTTCGCAGCCGAGTACGTGACCCATGTCTGAGACCACACGCAATATTGCGTGGATCAAGAACAATGCTTCAGCGATGAGCATATCCATCACTCAACCAACCCGCCTTTTTGACGACAATCAGTCTGCCATCAAAATAGCAATGGGCACCAGGACACCCAAAGGTCTCAGACATATTGCTGTTCGCACTCATTATATTCGCGATTACATACGTCGTGATATAATTTCCATTAGCTACGTCTCTACTCAAGACAATCTCGCTGATTTACTTACTATTAAGCATGAATATTTCACCAACAAGCTTTTATCCAAACCACACTTTGCCTTGAGGGTTGGGGGGGGGGGGCGGTATTGAGCTCCGCGCTCCACTCATTAAGGTTGACACACCAAACTTGGTTTTCACTATATTAATTAGTTTTTAGATCTTCCATGATAACCAACTTGCCTTGGAAACGAACCCACATTTTTCTTTTCTCTATGATCAAACTTTATTATATATTTACTACACAAATATCTAATAAAGATTAGTTCTTATATTTCAACAAATATTGTGGATTATTAACTCTTCTAGTTTAGCTAATAATTCGGTTGATGGGTTCTCTTTAGTTGTACCTGCAGAACGCTTCCATGGTATCTTCTTCATAGAATAGGACCTCTGATACAAGAACGTGTCGGTTTCGCGGTCGACAAATATAGGCACGTCTTGTATCATACTTATATGTTCACGTATTCGATGATCGCAGTTACATAAGGGACAACAGCGTTGTGGTAGATTTAATTATGTTAGCGTACTGGATCAACTGGGATATTAGTTGGCATGGTGGGTTTGCCCATGCAGTATGTTTGGATAGGTCCAGTTGAAACGCATCTCCCCTTTAGGGTGTGTCAAGCGACCTATATCCGGGTAGTTGTTTGTTATGTTCGGCAGCAAGTATATCAATTGTGAATGCACCCCAATACGACTCAGCAAGGCGGAACAATTTCTTATTAAGCATCCAATCAGTAGCTAATAACTCTTTAGGAGAAGTCGAAAGGGCATGTCAGGAATATGGTTATGTATTGTTGGTATGTGTGTATTTTTAAGCGCAAACTTTCATTGAGCTGTCTTAGCGCAGTTACAATGGCAAATATACGTTCTTGTTTAACGGTAAGGTAACTCCGTTGACTTTTGTTATATCTCATACTAAGTGCTTGAAAACGCGCGGAGTTTTCGAGTATATCAGTCAAATATGCGTTTAGTGACACACTGTTCACGATTCTGAATGACAATTTAGATATTCCCTCATAAGTTAAAGACTTCTGATCACCGGTGACAGTAAAATAGCTTCCGCATATGTAGTCTTCGAACTGTCTTAGCACGGTTACAATAGCAAGTAGTTCTTGTATTTAGCAGTAGATTAGTTCCGTTGACTTTAATTACTTTATAGTTTGATATAATATGCCCTCAACCTCTGGATGTGAAGTGTCGGTTGCTACTTGGAATGTAACGCCCTTTACTGGGTACTACAGGGTCGGTGCATCCATTTACTTTAGTTTGGACCAATTTATAAGCTTCATCACATTTTTTAGTCCATTGCTTCCCAACCGTCCTATATGAAGTCGTAAATAACTGGAAAGTTATAGGTAGTGAGGAAGGTATCAAATCCACACACCGAGTTTAAATTTCTTCCCGTATAAATCGGTGTTGATAAGTCTAACAGAAACTTTGGACCAATTTATAAGCTTCATCACATTTATGAGTCCATTGCTTCCCAACCGTCCTATATAAAGTCGTAAATGACTGGAAAGTTATAGGTAGTGGGGAAGGTATCAAATCCACACACACAGAGTTTACATTTCTTCCCGTATAAATCGGTGTTAATATGTCTAACAGAAAGTGTTTCTTTCCAAGATCGATGTCTACCACCGCTGCAAATAGTTTGTACCCAAGTACGCGAATATCATCTTAGTAAATAAACACTTATTTTCATTAATTATAGCTTTAACATCGTTAAGTTGTTTCGAGACTTCGTTCCGAGTTTAGAGTGATATTATTTACTATTATACTGTCTATGTAGAAATATACATTGTTCGACAGGTCCGCAAATAGGTACATCATTACTTATTGGAAGTAAGAAACACCTGTAAATTAATACTTTTTACCTGGGCACGTGAAGAAAAAGCACTTCTGATGTAGAATTAATGAGATGCAGCTTCTTAATATTCTTTGGAAATGATAGTCACACCTTCCATCGTACGTTGTATCTCACTTAAATTAGGCATGGGAAAAAATATAGTGCGGTGGCAGAAACAGCTCTAACACCATGTTTGTTTTACTAAATGTTTCATCAGATTTATATTGATCAACCACTAAGAGTGCAAGGTCTAAATTAAATTGCGATTTAATCAGCCTTCAATTTGGGTCTTGACTACGTTTTTTGTGTTTCTAACTTACATAAAAAAAGTGAAGGACATTTTGACTTAGAAATGTCAATGTTAGTTGCGTCAACCTTAACATTCCCATTAAAGAACTTAAATATACACCAGTAAGTGATTTTAATATTACTGTTCCGTACAATTAAGTCCATAATTATATCGGTGAAGTGCATATCATATCCTTGTTTCACCTTCCGGAGGCTTGGGTATCTTCAACATGTAATTTTCCGACTGATCCCTATTTGGGTCTAACCCGTTATGTACGCCAGTGGTAGTTATACCCAAGCTAACAAGATCAGACACACTTATCATTAGATCGGACTTCTGAGACATCAGTTACAATCAAAAGGGTCAATGGCTTCTTTGCAAGTGGAAGCTTTACCATAACCCAAACTTAGGCCAGTGCCTTCGTTATGTATATTCATACCAGCAGAGTAGGTCACACGGCGTGATATAACAGACACTTCAGCACCTGAGCCAAACAAAACTATACCATTTTTCGCCATATTGACGCATACGTATTGAAATATTCGTTTGTGTAGTAATACGGACTCCGGCCAGTCTAATATCAAGATCAAATGAAATAACACATTGGTTTTTATTTGTATTTAAAATAATTTAATACAAGTTCTTTTTGCAATATTTCCAAAGTGTTCTAAATTCACTTTGTTGACTCCAATAGCCTGAGTATTTGGTATGACTAATTTACTTGAACCTATTTGAGACATTAGTAGATGTGGGATACTATAAACAATTTAATAATCGCTGAACTACTACTTACAGGTTTTGGTCTTCCCGCAAATCTCCAAAATCCAATAAGTGTTTTTCTTTTTGTAACTTTTCTTCAGGTGGAACTATATTTATATAAGCTAATGTAATACCGTGACTTACGTTCTCATGTCTATCTACAAATTAGGCATGTGGTCATGAACACTTAGTACTTCTAGTGAAAATATTAAAAAAGAATAGCTAGAGGTACGTCCTGTGTGATCGCGGATATTAAGGCTATTATCAAGAGGCAGTCCCGGTCATTCTTACACAAGCTACCACTGCTAAATCCTAAATAATTCAAATTACATCTTAGCTTATTTT